GGAGGAAATAGGGACCGAGTCCTCTCTGGCTGCCCTTTGCCCCGAGTTTCCTTCTCAGGCTCGGAGGTGTGTGTGTGGCCGAGGCGTGTGGTGGTGCCAAGGAGGGGCCAGACCCCGCAGGGCTGGGAGCTATGAGTGGGGGCTGCGTTTGGGAGTGCCACGGCCAACGTGCAGCAACGTTGGGTCTACAAGCATGCATCTGTGTGCTCCCACGTGTACCTGTGTGTGCATGCCAGTGCACGTGGAACTCTGTGCTGATACGTTAACTGGTGGTTACGCGCTTCCTCGGGTGTGTGAGGTGGAGGAGTCGTTGGATACTGCAGTGGGGCCGTGGGGGGACCGCAGGCCGTGGGGCTGACCTGACGTCGGAGGTGAGAGGGCAGGGGCAGCCGAGGGCGACACTTCCCGGCGGACGGGGGGAGGGGACTGCAGGGAGGAGACACGGGCCTCAGGTCGGAGGTCAGGCCCGGGCGGAACGTGTGTCTGCTTCCCCTCTCCCTGGTGGTGCGTCTTGTGTGGACTGGCCCACCGCACGCACGTGACAGTGGGTGGCTTTGCACACACAGGTGCGGCTCCATTTCACAAACGGAGACCCCGAGACTCAGGGGAAAGGTGGTGGGTCCATGTCCATTGCTCACAGAGGGGCAGAGCAGGGCGCTTCCTCCGTTTCCTGGGCCCAGCTGTTGCCAACGGCTCTCCTGAAGAGTCGGAGGGAGGGGTGGCTGTGGCTACGGGGTCAGGGCCCCTTCCCGGCACACTCCAGGGCAGAAACGTGTGTTTCCCAAGTGCCCCATTTTCTCTTTCAAGGCTCCAAAAGCATTAAGATCCTGATGTCGCCACCAGAAGCGGCCAAGTTCATCCAGGCCTGGTGGCGGGGCACCCTGGTGCGCCGGACGCTGCTGCACGCGGCGCTCAGAGCGGCCATCATTCAGCGCTGGTGGAGGCGGGTGCGGGCCACGCTGCTGGAGCAGCGGCGGCGGGCGGCCCTGGACTCCTGGGTGCGGGAAGCGTGGGCGGCGGTCAGGCTGCAGTCCTGGGTCCGCATGTGGCGCGTCCGCCAGCGTTACAGCCGCCTGCTGCACGCCGTGCGCATCATCCAGGGCTACTGGCGCTGGCACAACTGCCAAACCCGCGGCTTCGTTCAGGGTCTTTACGACATCAAGGAAAACCATCTGAATCTTCAAGTAGAAATCTCGTTGGGCCCAGACATCTGCAGAATGCAGCAGTGCACAGCCCTTCCAATAAAAGAATGATCAGGTCTGCGAACCCGCGGCCTCAGCTCTGTGAGATGCACGTCGCAGAGGCCCCTGAGCTAATGAGGGCAGATCCCCGTGTCCCAGGCCTCGGCTCCGAGGGGGCGGCAGGGGTTGCGCGGAGGGCTGAGATCGGTGCCGATGGACCAACAGTCCGGAGATTGATTAGCAATGTCTGCCGTGGGTAGGATCGTTGGGGACCCCAAGTCAGCCCACCAGACAGTCCTCCTAGGGGCACTCTGACTCAGCAGTTTTGTGACATCTTCTGCTCCCCTCCCCACACTCTTTAAAATGTACTGTTTTAAAGTTGGGATACAATATACATAGCTTAACATTTGCCCTTCAACCATTTTAAGTCAACAGCTTAGTGACGTGGATAGATGTATTTGTTGTGAAAATGTCACCACCACCCAGTTCCAGAACTTCATTCATCTTGCAAAACTGAAACTCTATCCGGGAAACTCTGGTAACCCCCCCCGCCCCCGCCCCGCAGCTCCAGGAGTCTGGCTGCGCCCGCCCACCAGCAACACCACACCAGTCCTCACTGACCCGTCTCACCGAGCACTGCTCGTGCCAGAATCAGAGGCGCCCACTCCTAGTTTTTTAACCAGAGAAACTGCAAAACTTAAGTTCTCTCTCTCTCTCTCTCTCTCTCTCTCACACACACACACACACACACACACACACACACACACACCACTTACACAGATTATACAACTGCACGGCAGGTTCACGGGGAAATCACCCAAAACTGGAGAGAACTCCGAAATCCTTCCACTGGTAAAAAAAAAAACCTCCTGTGACATCCGGAGAGCGGAAGGCCGCTCAGCAAGGAAGACACCACCGCGGAGAAGCCTCAGGCTCACCATTCCGAGCGAAAGAAGCCGGATGCAAAGGTGACAGGCTGCTGACTGTCACCACCTCTGTAGGGTGGGGTAGGGCCAGACGCAGACCAGAGGTCGCCAGAGTCCGGGGGTGGCGGCGTCGACCGCAGAGGGTCACAGGGGCACTGTGCTTCCTGTGGTTCGAATCTCAGTTATTGGGTGACTAGACATATTCTCCGGTGCTGAAGAAGTGTGGTTTGTATTGAAAGATAATATCGAGGTTATAATTTGTGAAGTTCTCATCTATTGAAGATACATGCTAAAGTGCTTATGGGTTAAATAATACACTTTTTGTGGTTTTCCTTTTTTAAAGATGACATATTGTTGAGCAATTATCTTTTAAATGTATTTCACTGAACTTATCGGGGTTCGTGAAATAGGGTGCGAGTGTGCGATGCCATAATATGTCACCCCCATATTGTGCTTCACACTCACCGCCCGTCGTCCGGTCTCCCCAAAATTGGGCAGGCCGGCGAGGAGGGGCAGTGCCCTCTGGAGCCCGATGGGGAGAGGAGGCCTGAGGGAGAGCGGACAGGTTCCCGTGGGGCTTGGCCGTTTGGGGTGCGGGGGATGTCGGTCAGCCGGTGGCGGTGGAGGGAGAGGGTCCCGGCCGGAGCGGGGGGAAGAGAAAATGGCAGGAACAGAGGCGGGAACAGTGACAGCATCGTTGCTGGGAGGAGCAGCAAAGAGCTGGGGCAGAAATGGGTCAAGCCATATTTTCTTTTCTTTTTTTTCAAATTAATTTATTTCTTTTTAGAGAGAGGGGAAGGGAGGGAGGAAGAGAGGGAGAGAAACATCAGTGTGTGGTTGCCTCTCACGCGCCCCCTACTGGGGGCCTGCTACCCAGGCATGTGCCCTGACTGGGAATTGAACTGGCAACCCTTTGGTTCGCAGGCTGGCGCTCAACTCACTGAGCCACACCAGCTGGGGTTCAAGGCCATCTTTTCCAAAGATGGCAGAGGCAGGCACCAGCGATGTGGAGGTCAGGGCTGTGCGTACAGGGCCAAGCACCTGGAGATGGCAGCAAGGTCACGGAGGGGGTGGCCCTGGATGGGACCACGGGGTTCCCTGCTCCTGGAGTGCAGGCCTCGAGTGTGGGCGAGGCGGAGCTGGGGTGCAGAGGGAGGCGGCGGGAGGGCGGAGGGCCAGTCCGCTCCCAGGTCTTCTGTCAAGTGTGCGGTGACAGACACCGTCGCTAAGTTCACGGGGAAGGAGGGGAAGGGGACCCTGGCAGGGCAGGTGGCGTGATCTCGGTTTGGCAGACTCAGGGCCCGGCGCAAGTAACGCCCCCCCCCCCTTTTATTACAAAATCCTAAGCGTGTCATTCTGTAACATCACAACATCACACTCAAACGCACCCTGTGACACTTTGGGCGAGACGTGCAAATTAAAACCACACATTACTACACCCATTTTATCACCCTGCCAGCTAACACTCAGGCAAGCATGCCTCCTGCCAGGCCCTGTCGAAGGCGAACTTAGCAGAGGAGTGCGCTGGCGCTGGGTCCGCCCGTGGGAGATCGGCAGCCAGGAGTGGAACCGAGATGCACCCTGGGCGGGGGGTGGGGTGGGGTGGGGTGTTCGCTCTAGCCACGCCCCCTCCTGCAGGCGCAGAGCGGGTGATTGGCCGAGTTCATCCCACACCTTTGCGGGGGCGGGGCGGGGGGGGTCAGGCTGTGCAGGGCGGAGAGGACCGTCATTAACCCCAGTATCCGAGCTGGGCCAGAAAGGTGCCAGCGTAGGTCAGGAGGGGTGGCGGCAAGAAAAAAACGGGCAGGGTCCGCGGTGCGGAGGACATAATCCCATCGAGAGAGACGTCCCGCCGGGGGTGCGTGAAAGGGACACAGGAAGGAGCGAGTAAAGCACTCGGGGAGCGGAGGGAACTCCAGGAAAAGTGACTTGGGTGGTAGCGTGGTGACGGGTGACGGCACGGTCTAGAGCCACACCGTCCAATGGAATAGCTCGAAGCCGCCGATGGCTGTTGCACTTGAACTAATGTAAATGAAATTGAACATTCCATGCTTTAGTTGTGCTGGGCGTAGTTCCAGTGCCCCACCGCTCTGTGGGAGCAGTCGCTGCCATAGTAGCACAGCTACGGAACATCGCAGAAAGTTCTGTCGCACGGCGCTGCTATATCCTGTAACCACGGGGGTGCGTGGCTCGCGGGGGGAGCCGAAGAGGTTTGCTAGAGGTAAAAACGAAGGAGATCGGAGGCTCATCTCAGCCCACGGCGACACCCCCAGCGACGGAGACAGGAGTAAGGGTTTGGGGGCGTCAGAGGGAGCCTTTCCGTGCACAGCCCTCGGGGAGAGGAAGTGCCGTGGACCCCTGTTTTCTGCTTGTTCCCACGGTAACCAGCACACCAGGTGTCCGTGACCGAGGCCGGCCTCCTGCCCTCCACCCAAGGCGGTGTCGCACTGCTCCCGGAAGTCAGCCCAGTGCTTGCCAGAGACACCTTGCCACCAGCATGCAGGACCCCAGGCTAACAGGGGAGAGGCCTGCAGTCCATTGCCCTGCGCGGAGGACCCCGCGCAGCCTTCAGGAGGACTCTGTTTCCGGGTCCCGGCGGGGGAGTGGGCGGGGCAGGGGGAAAGGGGTGGGGCTTCAGCTCTGGCCTGTACCGGTGCAGACCGGGACCTCAGCTTCTGTTCTGACAACGGAGTCAGAGCATGTGGGGGCTGTCGGTTCAGGACAGGGTCCTGAACAGGCGCAGGGGGCGCCTTCCCTGTTTTGTTTTGTTTTTTTTCCCCAGGAAGAAGAAAGAGGGGGCGGCCCGGCCCACTCTCCTGAAACGTCCCTTCGCCGGAGGAGACCACGGAACACACCAGGTCAGGTCAGACCTTTTTACTGGGGACACGAGCCCTCAGGGGTTGGTGATCTCGATGTGGAACTGCAGGTGGGTGGCCGTGACGACGCAGTGGCCCCGGAGGAGCGCGCAGGTCTGGCAGTCGTGGCGGTGCCAGTGGCACTGGATGACGTAGATGGCGCTCAGCACCTGGCAGTACCGCCAGTGGACGCGCCACATGCGGACCAGAGACTGGAGCTTGACCACCGCCCGCTCTCGGACGACGTAGCTCATCAGGGCCAGCCTCCGCTTCTGGCGCATCTTCCTGGCCAGCATCAGCCGCCACCAGCACTGGATGGCCCAGGCCCGGAGCGCCGCGTGCAGCAGCGTCCGGCGCACCAGGGTGCCGCGCCACCAGGCCTGGATCTGTATGGCTGCTCTTACTTCTCTTTTCGAAACTTTCTAGGCAGAGAGAAAAGAGACCTGTCAGGACACGTCCTGCCCACCCACTTCCAGGATTTCCTGGAAGGGGTCCTGGGTGCTCTTCCTCCTCAGCCCTACTTTGGAGAGCTCAGAGGCGTGAGCTAGATGGGACTGACAGCCCAGGCCCTGGTGGGGCGCCCTCCTCTGCAAGCTGCGGGCACAGGGCCTCGCTCTCTGGGTCCCAGACCCCTCCACCTAATGCATCACAGGCGCAGGGGGCAAAGGAGAGACCATGAGCACCAAGGAGGGTGCCTCTGGCAGGTGCAGGCCTTTGGTGGGCACACTCCATCTCAGAGGTGCTCAGGGGCTTTGCAAAGCTTGGCCTCCTGATGCCTTCGCCTGCGATTCTCTGCTGACTTGAGCCCCGCGGTGGGCGGGGGTGGGGCCCGGTCCCCGCTGCCACCACAACAGGTTTAGCTTCCCTGCTGGGAGCAGGAGCGGAGGGCCCTCCCACACCTTGAACATTCTAATTCCGAGGCCTCCCTGGTCGCCCCCAGCCCCACGCGTTTGTTCTCTCGGCTCTCTCTTCACCACCACGGTCGGACCCAGGCCCCCGGGAGGCCCTGCCGAGAAGGAACTGGAGGGAAAACGAGCCAAGGCGGACTCGACCCCTGGGGATGTCAGGCCCTGGGGACCCCGAAGGGGCACAAGTCCGTCCGCCTCAGGACACGGGTGTGAGTGGCGTGCACCTCTCTCAACTACACGGGGACTCACCTTTCGTTTCCTTTTCATCTTCACCACTTCAATTATTTCCTCTTCCTTGACTACAACTAAAATAAGATTGCCTTTTGTCTGTCACCATAACAAAACAAGAAACGGATGGATGAGTTAGGACGCAGTGTCTCTCGAGGGCTCTGACAAAGACACCCACGGCCTCCGCATCCCGGCTTTTCCAGAGACCCCCCGAGTCTGAGGGCCGGGGGATCCTACCCACCCCTGGCTGGCCTAGGAGGTCTGGCTGTGTCTCTTACGCAAAATCGAATCCCCATGCTCGTCTTTAGATGTTTTATTACCCTTGATTTCTCTGCTTCCCAAGGTCTGGCATGAGTAATAGTAGGGAGAGAGCTGTGAGTTCACAATGGCATTGTGACTCAAGGGTTGAGCCTTCCTCACCGGCCAGCCCTGCCTACTTTCCCTCCTGGCAGAGGGGTAGCAGGGCTGGGTACGCAGATTGGGCACGTGAATGCCCTCCCACACCGGGGCTCTCCTCCAATCAGGCCCGTCCCCGTCCCTCTCCTCACCAACCACGGGGGAGAGTGGCTGGGATCCTAGCCGTGTCTTCTCCGACTTGGCACCTCCTGTCTGCCCTGGAGTCAGTTTCCGGCGCCCCAGCACGCTGCAGGAGACAGAGAGGCCAGACGGGTCGAGAGAGCCGTAGCATGAAGAAGGCTATATTACAGGCCTACTGTAAATAACCAGGTAGATTCATATCCGAATCTTTAAACACTTACCATTTTAGAAATTTCAAATGTGACAAGTTACTCAGCGCTATGCTTGAAGGTAGAAATGGCCGTCAAGCCTTTCGGGGTGTTCTGCGGTGGGGTTCGGACCGGGTGCACGGATCTTGTGGGGAAAGGCGATCATCAGCATTTGGAGTCCCTCCTAACAGCGTGGACTGTCCCTCTGTTCGCTTAGGAATTCTTTTATAGCTTTCTTAAAAGTCTTTCAAATTTTGTGTATAAAGAGCTTTGTTCTTTTTTTTTTAGATTTTTATTTATTGATTTATTTTTAGAGAGGGAAGGGAGGGAGAAAGAGAGAGAGAGAGAAACATCAATGTGCAGTTGCTGGGGGCTGTGGCCTGCAACCCAGGCACGTGCCCTGACTGGGAATTGAACCTGCGATGCTTTGGTTCGCAGCCCGCGCTCAATCTATTGAGCTACACCAGCCAGGGCAAGAGCTCTGTTCTTGAGATACAATTCTTGCCTTAAAACTTACCATTTAACATTGTGCAATTCAGTCATTTTTAGTATATTCACAAAGTTAGGCAACGGTCACTGTAACGGGGTGTATCCAGGACAGCCCCCCCCCCCCGCCCAAAAGAAGGATTTGAAACGAGGTCCAGAACTCGGGATGTCCAGGAATGATAAAACACAGGATGTCCTCACCCCCACAAGTCTGGACGGGGGATGGGACACATGGAGCGGGACCACTGAAAGTTATTTTGTGTGTCAACAGTTGGCCAGCTTGATACCTGATATGCCAAAATGGTTATTTTGCATGTCTATAACCGCTGACTAGCTTCACAGGTGTTAAGTGGCTGTGACTGGGCTCTGAGCCAGGGAGAGGGGAGTGGCTTGGACCCACGATGAACTGGGAGGCAGCTCCCCCTGGGTCCAGTCCGGCGGGAGAGCTTGGAGATGGTTCACTCCACACCTCGGGGCCACACCTGCCTGGCGAACTGTGGCAACCCAGAGAGGCTGGAAAGATCCGGGAATGCTGGCAGGTGTAACTGACTGTGGGAGGAGTTGGAAATGGGGTTGCAGAGGAAGGTTTCCGCTGAGATTTAAAACCCACGCACGGCAGCCATGCGGGGCTACCATATGGTTTTGGGGCTCCCTTTACCATGAGGCTTAGGAAGCAAGAGAGATGACGCAGGACTAGGAATGGGGACCCCTTGCAGGGGAGGAAAGGGGTGAAAGGACTCCTGCTGGTGGGCCAGGAGAAGGTGCCACACGGGTTTGGGCTAAGAACTGGAGACCCCGGCCACACAGCTGATGGGGCTGGGAACCGCAGGAGACCTGCCGGCTGAGCTCAAATGACCGACAGGAACCGGAAGGAGTGAGCTGCGGACTTCTCTTTGTTTTTCCTGAGATATGGTACCCAAGACTGGCCTTGCAGGGCAACGAGGGAAGGAAGAACTGTGTTTGTGGGTGTTTTAAGGGACTTTGAGTATTTAATGGCGACATGAAGTCATTACTCTAAACCTGTATAACATTTTTTTAGATTTTATTTGTTATTTTTAGAGAGGGGAAGGGAAGGAGAAAAGAGGGAGAGAAACACCAATGTGTGGGTGCCTCCCTCGCACCCCTTACTCAGGACCTGACCGAAACTCGGGCATGTGCCCTGACTGGAAATTGAACCCGTGACCCTTTGGTTCACAGGCTGGCGCTCAATCCACTGAGCTACACTGGCCAGGGCTAAACCTGTATAACTTTTGAATAAATTGTTTCTTTCCTTGTCACCAAACTCTGGCATTGAGAGCCACGATTTTAATTCCTAAGGGCAACGGGCAAGGTGAACCTGGTACAGAGGGACCCCGGGAGGGGGGGTCCATTTGGTTACAGTGTCTTGCCTCCCCCCCCCCACGGGTCTTCCTGGACTTCCTGGAAGTCTGTTTCCTTCACCAGATTGGGAACATTCTCTTTCATTATTTCTTCAAGTAAGTTTTCAATTTCTTGCTGCCGTTCTCCTTCTGGTACCCCTATGGTTTGGATGTGGGGACGTATCAGGTTGTCTCAGAAGTTTGTAGGTCTCTCTCCACTTTTTTGGATTCTTGTTTCTTCATTCTGTTCTGGCTGGATGTTTATTTTCCCCTTTTGTTCCAGATCATTGCTTTGAGCCCTGGGTTCCTTCCTGTCGCTGTTGGTTCCCTGACTATTTTGCCTGATTTCATTTTGGGTGTCTTGCACCTGTTTTCTTTTTTCAACTTTTCGACCAAGCTCAATCAGTTCTGGGAGCACTTTGATTACCAGGGTTTTAAATTCTCCATCGGAGAGGTTGGCTATCTCCTCATCGCTTAGTTCCCTTTCTGGGGTTTTGCTCTGTTCTTTCATTCCGGCCGTATTTCTTTTTCTTGGTGCACCTGTTAGGTTGTGAGGGGGCGGGGCCTTAGGCACTCACTCGGGCAGGGCAAGTGGGGGAGGGGCCAGGAAGGGAAGGACACAGCTGCCCTGCTTGGCTGGAGCCCACTTCTCAGAAAACTCTCGTGCGAGACTGGAAGTGTCTCCCACCCAGGCGACCCACGTGGTGGTCCGCAGTCAGCTCTGCGTCTGTGTCACCCGCGGCCAGCTCCGCCCGCACCGTCCGCCGCCTCGCTGCGGTTTTTCTGAGCAGGCCCCGCCCCCACGGCCTCACTGCGGGGTCTTACTGGTCTGGTGGTTCTGGTTGATTTTTTCCCTTCATTCCTTGGTTGTCGGAGTTCCATGCAGCTTGATTCTCTGGCACTTCTTATTGATTTTAGATTGGTTGTCACCCTCTTTTTGGTCGAGCGAGGAAGTGAAGGGTTTCTACCTACGCCTCCATCTTGGCCAGAACCTCCCTAAAACTGGTATTCTAGGCTTATGAAATAATAAAAGATATATACTGGTCTCTAGTTCCAGTTGCTGGCACAGAACTCCTAAGACTCTTGCAATTTCTTAAGGCATAAGAGCACAAGAAATATCTGTTGTTTTAATAGTTGTTCTTTGACCCCGGATCCTGACAAAGGGCTCCTGAACCCGTGTAATTTCCTGGGCAATAGGAGTGTCTTTCATTGTAACAGGGCGATCTGGGCGGGCTCCCAGATGGGCCTTAGGTGTGGGCTGGCCACGGGGAAGATGAAGCCAGAGTAGCAGCTTGGAATTTTCATCACCCCCTTCCCAAACCCCTATTCTGTCGAGAAGGAAAAGGAGTTGAAAATGGAGTTTCCAGAAGTGGCCGAAAGGAGGCGTTTTGTATGCGTCCTAAAGAGACAGACAGGAGAAAGGGTCCCCAGAGGGAGAAAGTCTGTCCAGGAAAGTGTGTCCCTGCCCTGGCTGGCGTAGCCCAGTGGATTGAGCTCGGGCTGCAAACCAAAGCATCGCAGGTTTGACTCCCAGTCAGGGCACATGCCTGGGTTGCAGGCCATGACCCCCAGCAACCGCACATGGATGTTTCTCTTTCTCCCTCCCTTCCCTCTCTAATAAATAAATCTTTAAAAAAAACTTAAAAAAAAAAAAGAAAGTGTGTCCTTGTTAGCGAGCCGCTGGTGAGGCCCGTGCCCAGCCTGCACGGAGGCTGGTCTCCTGCGCCCCCCGTCCTGGGCCCCGTCCTGGGCTGCGCCGTTCCCGGGGCAGCATCTGTACATCCCACTCCGGCCCAGGGGCTGACAAACAGAAAGCTCACGGGTTCCAAGCCCGGGCTGGCCCGATGGCAGGCTGCCACAGCATGGCCACGGGGACAACTCTCATAGGGGGTGGTGCTGTCTTCGGGTTTTTAAGCCCCCAAGCCCTCCCAGGGGCAAGTTCAGGAGGCCAGGATGGTGCTGGGTCTGTGGAATGGGACACCTGGCCCAGCGTAAATGAGGACAGTCTCAGGTGGCAGTTTCTGGGTCAGTGGCATGTGGTCACTGCTGGTCCAGACCAGGGGCCCTAGGCACTGAGGGGCAGGGGACAGGGGAGGGTACCTGTATGGAAATGAAACCTTTCCTCCAGTATGGGGGGAGGGGCTGGGGCCTGACGCTTTGGGATCCCCACGCTGTGGGAGTCACGGAGACACACCAAGCCTGGCCAGGCATTTATTGGGCCACTGAGCCACCTCTGCAGTATGTCAGATGGATAAGATCTCAACGTGGAACTCCAGCCCTTTGACAGCACCCGCGGGCTGCTCCTGCGGCCCGTCCCTGACCTGGAGGGGGAGAGAGCACCTGGGCGCCTGGAGGGCGCAGAGAGTGCTGCGCACTTGGCGGTAGCGCTGATGGCACCGGCACATGCGGACACAGGACTGCAGCCGCACCGCCGCCTGCTCCTGGATCACGTAGACCTTCAGCAGGATCTGCTGGAGCTTCTGCATCTGCTGCCGCAGCAGCGCCCTCCACCAGACCTGAATCACCCAGGCCCGGAGGGCGGCCACCAGCAGGGTCCGGCGCACCAGGGTGCCACGCCACCACGCCTGGATCTTGACAGCCGCCTCCTCTTTTGTTGTCAGGTATTGCCTTGCAAGTATCTGCGAACCAAGCAAAGCAGAGGACTCCCAGGGATCTGGTCACCACCCGCCACAGCCCTGCCGACCACTAAGGCGCTCTGACCTTCTC